TTGTATTAATATAGTCACTTTATTTCTATGAATAAAATTTCTAGCATATTCCTATGGTGCTGCAATGAGACAGCTGAACTGTGGGAATTGATGCTTTAACTATGAGCCCTCTATCAGTTTCTACTTATATTTAAATAAAGACCCATGTTGGAGGATACACACTGCTAAATTAACAAGCCATCTGTATCAAAATAAGAATAGCATTAGAGTATACAAGTACATCTAGCATCTACCACCATACCTAGCACATAGTAGATACTCAAAATATATTTGTTGAATAAAAATGATTACATAGCCAGGTGTGGTAGTAGCTCACACCTGTATTCCCAGCACTTTGGGAGGCTGAGGAAGGTGAATCGCTTGAGGTCAGGAGTTTGACACCAGCCTTGCCAATATGAAGAAACCTGCTCTCTACTAAAAATGTAAAAATCAGCCAGGCGTAGTGGTACGAACCTGTAATCCTAGCTACTTAGGAGGGTGAGGCAGGAGAATCACTTAGCTGCAGTGAACTGAGATCACACCACTGCATTCCAGCCTAGGTGACAGAGCAAGACTCCATCTCAAAAAAAAAAAAAAAAAGATTACATAGCTATATGCATGAATGAATCCAACCAGCTCTTAATACTTGATTAAGGAATTATATATTAGTTTAATTGATGTGAATAATAAAATAATTTATAGTGTGAATAATTCAAAAGTTGTACTTACATTTGAATACTAATGACAATAATTGTATTCAAATGGCACAAAAATACAATGAAAACCTTATTAAAAAGTGCTGGATCATGGCTGGGCACGGTGGCTCACGCTTGTAATTCCAGCACTTTGGGAGGCTGAGGTGGGTGATCACAAGGTCAAGAGATTGAGATCATCCTGGCCAACATGGTGAAACCTCACATCTACTAAAAATACACAAATTAGCTGGGCGTAGTGGTGCATGCCTGTAGTCCCAGCTACTCAGGAGGCTGAGGCAGGAGAATCACTTGAACTCCAGAGGCAGAGATTGCAGTGAGCCGAGATCACGCCACTGCACTCAGCCTGGACGACAGAGCGAGACCCTGTCTCAGAAAAAAAAGATGTTGGATCTTCTTTACAGCAGAATTCCAATTTACAAATGTAGAATTAAAGAAGAAAATACAAAATCACCTTTAGGAAAACACTATGGTACTAATTGTACATAAGATCTACCCAGTGGATGCTAATGCTAATGGGTGAAAGTTTGCAAACTATGAAACAGGATTTGCATATTTTCAAAGTATCTGCCGCGAGATATTTATTAACTACCCCATTACTTTACAATAGAAAATGTAGGAGAAAACAGCTTAACTGAGTGAACAATGTGAGCATCACCAGTAGTAAAATATATGGATATCATGAATCCTGTGATACGATGCATCAAGAAAGATACAACATCATTTCTATAGTATTATTGCCAAAAGTGTATAACCTTAGTATAATCATGAGGAAATATAAGACAAACCAAATTTGAGGAACATTTGACAAAATGGCTGATCTATTAATACTCTTCTGAAGTGTGAAAGTCATGAAAGGTAGGTAAAAATTGAGGAACTGTTGTAGATTGCAGGAATAAAGAGAAATAACAACTAAATAAAATGTGAGACTCTGGATAGAATCTGAGAACAAAACAAAAGACATTAGTGAAAAACCCAATGAGATTCAAATAAAGCTTTTAATTTCGAATGTTAATTTTCCGGTTCTGATCAATATATGATGATTATATAAAATGTTAGCGTTAGGAGAAGCTGTGGAAGGGATATACAGAAACTGCATTATTTTTCTAACTTTTCTGTAATTCTAAAATTAGTTTAAAATTTTTTAAAATTTTAAGATGTTGGGGCCGGGCGCGGTGGCTCACGCCCGTAATCCCAACACTTTGGGGGGGCTGAGGCAGTCAGATCATGAGATCAGGAGTTCGAGACCGGCCTGACCAACATGGCGAAACCCTGTCTCTACTAAAAATACAAAACTTAGCCGGGTGTGGTGGTGCGTGCCTGTAATCCCAGCTACTCAGGAGGCTGAGGCAGGAGAATCGCTGTGGTTATACCACTGCACTCCAGCCTGGGCAATGGAG